TTATTTAAAAAGTATAAATAATTAAGAAAGTAATACGAACTTTATAAGATCTAAGGGTAAAAAGGTAGGTTAGCGAAGCCTTAGTAATATATAACGGGCTTAATATATTATAAAATCTTAATATTTTATTAAATTTAAATATATAAATTTAGAAAGATATTATAAATAAATAGACTAGATTATATAATTTAATCTCTATCGATAAGCGCTTTTATATAATTATAAAAAATCGAGACTAACTATTTAAAGTCGTAATAACGGCGATCCGATTATATAATTAAATAAATAAAAAGATAATTTATAAAGAAAAAAGAAAAGAGTTAAAAGAGGTCGAATAGTTACCTCTTATTTAAAAAAGTAAAGATTAAATCGATTAATTAAAAATCGTTTTTAATAAGATTATCGTAATTAATAAATTAGATAATTAATTATTAAATCCGCCGCGACGGCGGCAAAGTCGGCTTTAAAAAAACTTAATTCTATAGCTTTTTAACTATAATAGATTAATTAATAATTATATCGATATTTTCTATTTAGCTAAAAAAAAGAATTTCGAACTAGCTTTTAAACTATAAAAAAAAAGGATTCTTATTATAAAAAGTAAGCCTTACGAGGCTTTAAATATCGTTAAAATAAAAACCTTACGAAATCGAAGTATATATCGCTTTATTTTATACGATCTAAATAAATATACTAATCTATAGATTTTTAAATTATATATAATTTAAAAAATTAAAAATAAAAGAACTAATACGCCGTATAAAAAATCTCGTTACGTAATCTAAAAATATAGCGATATTAAAAAAATAAAATTTTTTATATAATCGCCGACGGTTTAAAAAAATAGCTAATAATTAATACTAATTTTAATCCTTTTTTTTATTCAAAACGGATATTATATATAAAATAAAGATATTACGTAAATATATACGCAATCCGCTACTAATTTAACATAAAAAATCTTTACTTACTTTTTAAAAAAAATAATTAGTAAATATTTAAAAAGTACGATTATCGAAATACTTAAACTATTATATAAATTAATAAAATCGAAAACCTATTAATAAGCGACTTATTACGATTTCTATATTAAATAGCTAAGTATAATTATATTAACTTATAATTTATATTTATTAATTTTTAATTATTTAAAAGGACTTTATAGGATTATTAATATATAAACCGACGATATATTAAGCGTATTTAATATCGAATTTATATAAAAGGAAAATAAAAAGTTTAAAAAGGCCGGATTTATTATTAAATTAAAAGAGATCTTTACTACTAATTATTTACTAACGTTTAATAGCGGGATCTTTATAATTAAAAGTAATACCGTTATTTTTTATTAAAAAAATAAAAAAAAAATTACTTTCGTTAACTTTATATTATTTAATTAGTAAAAAAAATATTAAATAAAATAAATAAAAAGATCGTATATTATTAATATTTTTTAATTAAAAATAACGTTCGATACCGTAAAAGTAGCGTAAATTATAAATTTAATTAAAAAAAATATTATTATATTAAATAAACGGCTAAGTTAGTAAATAATAAACTTAGATCGCGGGCTAATTTATTATTTATTAAATTTAGCCTTTACTAAGCTTTATATTTTTATTAATAAATCGTTTATATATAACGTAAATCTAACCTCTTAACTTAAATATATTATTATTTTAATAAACGAGGTTATAAAAGACGACGAATTTATAATATACGGCAATATCGTTTATTATTTATTAATTAAAAATAAAAAAATAATTAAAAGCGTTTTAGCCTCTAAGGTCTACAGGATAGTTAATAATATCGACTTTACTTACGCGATCTCTATTATACTTAAACGGATTATAAATCGATTAACTTTATTTATAATACTAACGATTATTTATATAGATTTTTATTTATTATATAAATGCCTCGTTAAGCTAGGTACTATTAAAAAAAAGAGGCTAATGATCGATATTATAACTTTATAATAATTATATGAACAAAATAAGATTTTTAAAATCCGTTAAATTAATAACGAAAATAATTTAAGAAACGTTTTTACTAAATAAAACCTAAACCTAGGCTTAAAACAATTTATTAATAATAAAATAACTACGGTATATATAAAAAGATAAATTATATAAAAAAGGCTTAAAAAAAACGGAAAAAGAATTATAAATATTACTTTTATCGGCGTATTATATACTATTACGAAATCGTCAAATTGCTTTTTTAATTATATAAATTTAATAATATAATACAGGCCAGGAGCATAGAAACGAAGTTTTTATAATCTAAAATACTTATCCTTTTAAGAGGATATTTTATAAATTAATTAAATAAATTTACCGTCTAAAAGCGCTTAAGAAATAGGTTAATAAGCGTATTTAAACGAGTACTACCTTAGCTATATATAGCTATATGTTAGACTTTTTATAATATACCTTTTTAATTATAAAACTATTCATAACTAAATTGTATATATAAATTTTTTTTACATCTTTTTTAAATAAATATAAAAATAATTAGTAAAAAAAAATAAGTTTAATAAAAAAAACTCGTTAAGAATAGTAATTTTATATTATTTTATAAATAATAGAGTTATAATATATTTATATAAGCGCGTTATTATTATTATTATATATATTTATTAGTAAATAAATTATTATAAAGTCGGTCGTTAGGATATTATTTAAATAGGTTAATAAGTAATAAAAATTGCTTTTTTTTATTACCCGCCTTTTTATTAAATTTGTTTTTTATAACCTTTTTATAAATTGTTTTTATAAGTTTTTTAAATTAGTTTTTAACTTTATATAACCTTTTTTTAATATTAATAAATTATAATATAATAATTAAATATATATATATATATATAATAGCCGGCATTACCCTTACTAAAAAGGGCGCCGCCGAGCGTACTTAAGCCGCTTACGTATTACGGCTAGTTAATCGTAATAAGGTTTATATTAACAAAACTCGGGGCTACGATATTCGTAAATAATAATCGTTATAGGAATAGTTTTAATAAAGCTATTATTTATAAGTCGTAAAGTAAGTAAGGCTTCGGTAATTAATCGTAATCTTATTAAATAAGTTTTTAATAAAAATAGCTAAAAATAATCATAAGATTTAATATAAAGTTAATTACTACAAAAGCTATAGAAATTATAAATATAAGCCTAGCTTAAATCTATATTATATATAAGTCCCGTATATTATTAAATAGTTTTTTTATATTTAAGACCGATATTATAAAATCGGTCTTTTAAAAATAAACCGATTTTTATTTTATTAATTTATATTTAAAAACCGCTTATCGTCCGTTAATCCTTTTTATTATTAAATAACTTTTTTATAATTCTTTTAATTTATTAAAATAATATATATATTTTTATTATTTAATTATATATATAGTAAAGTAGCCGCCGTAGAGTAGTAGGGTAAGTCTTTAGTTTATTATATATATTAAATTATAATATTAAATTTTTTTTTAAAAAATTTAGTTTTATAAATTTATAAATAAATATCCGTAGCCTAGGTTAGGGCTTATTAAATTATTAATTTATTATTTTTTATAATATTAATATTATATTAAATTACGTAGAAAAATCGAGCGTTAAAATAAAAGTTAAAAAAATAAAAATAAAAGATCGTAAACGTTTAGTATTTTTAAAGTTTATTAAAACTTATTTAATTAATATTAATATATTTTATATTTATTATTTTTATATTAAAATTACGTATTAATTTAGTAAAGGGTCTTTTTATTATTAAATTTATATAGAAGTAAAGAAGCTTTGTAATAAGGTATTAATAATATCGATTTATAAATTAACTTTTTATTTTTTATTATATTCGTAATTATTAATAATTATAATTTAAAAACTTAATATTTAAAAAAAAAAAAAAAAAGGCGAGTAAAGAACTTTTAAAACTTTATAAAAAGCTAGCCCGTTTTTAATTATTAATAATAATTACTATTAATCGTTTATTTCGTATTTAAAAGACTCGGAAGTTAATATAGGATCGTTAAATTAAGACTTTTTTTTAAAGGATATAAAAAGTAAATAAGTCCGATATTTTAAAATTTATATTAAATATATATAAATGTAAAATAATCAAGGAATTATAATTCATATAGGTTTTTAATAATATAAATTAATCCTTTTTCAGGTTTAATAACGAATTCGCGTTTTTAAAACCGTTAATTCCGTTTTTTAATAATTTTTAAAAAGTTATTAAGAGTTTTAAAAATTCGTAATAAGTTCTTATATATTATCTTTATATTTATAATCTTTTTATTTAATAAAATATTTTTATTATTTTTTTTAAATTCGATAGTCAATAATTTATTCGATTTTATATTTTAATTTGTTAAATTCAACGATAATACGATCTTTTATATATAAACTTTTAAATATTAGCTCGAGGAGTAAAATATAAAAAACTAAATAATATTATATCGTATTTAAGAGTTTTAATTTAAAATTAATTAGTAAAACTTTTTTAATAATTTTAAAAAGTTTAAGTTTTTTATAATTTAATTTATTGTTTAATCGCTTCGTTTTAATATTATAATAAAAAAATTATACGTTATTTCTTTTTTTTAAAATTAGTTTATTAATTTTTAATTTATCGGCGTATTTTTTTATATATTATTATATAAACTCGAGGTTTAAAGAGGCTTTTTTTTAGATTTTTTTAAGTTTATTTACGTTTATTATGGCTTTTATAACCTATAGTCCTTTACGTACTTTTTTATATATAATTAATTAAAATCTATAATTAAAATAAAAAAGGGATTTTTTTTTATTTTTATTAACTACGTTATTATATATAAACTAAGCTATTAATAATAATAATACTTAATTATTTTAATTATAATTTATATAGTAACGGAGGTATATTTTAAAAATCTAATTAATTTTTTCTATTTATTTATCGATTTATAAGTAAAAAAAGGTTAATAGTTTATAATTTATACCGAGTTATGAGATTAATAATCTTTAAAACTTAGCGGTAAATAGTTTATCTTTATTAAAAACTATTTCTTTAAGTAAACTATAATTAATAATAATTATTTTAAAGAAAATATATATTAATTCCTTAATATTACTTACTTTCTTATATAATATAAAATAAATAAATTTAATAAGTCGGTTAATAATAATTAAAATATTATTATATTATATATTCGTAAGTAGTTTTTTAAATTTTAGTAATTTAACGATAAAGTCTTAAGAAATTAAATACTATGCTTTTAATAATATTAATAATAGTTATAGCTTTTTATAAAATTTATAAAAACTATTCTTATTTTTTTTATAAATATTATAGTTTTTAATAACTTTAACGACTTTTACTCTTATAATAAATTTATCATAATATTATAAATCCGTTTTTATATTTTTATAATACTTTAATAACTATATACTCGAGTATTATAAATTTTTATAATAAACTTAAGAGTTATTTTTTTAAATGGGCTAGTTTTAGTTTTTTTAATTATTATAAAAAGGTTTATAATAAATATAAGATTACCGTTATTATTATATTTAAGGATTACTTATATTTCCTTAAGGACCGTAATTTTATAATTAAATCGTTTATTAAAAGCGTCCGTTTTATTATTATTTCAACTTTTTTAATAAATAATTTAAAAGTTAAATTTAAATAAGAATTTGCTCTATTTAATTTACTATTTATTTAAATTTTTATTTATTATAAAATTTATAAAATTCTTATAATTTATATAAATAATAATTTTGTATTTAGTTTTTAAGAGTTATAATCTTGATTTTTTAAAAGTTTTAATTATAATTATTAATTTTTTATCGTAAATTTATTAATTTAGTTCCGCTTTATAAAAGGTTTTAAAATAAAATATATTAAAATAAAGTTTCTTTTATTAATCTTATTATTTTAAAATAGTTTTTATAGCGAAGTCCGAAGCGTCGGTCTTAATTTTAAATAATATTTAAAGGTCTGGAATTATAATAATTAATTCCGAAGTAACTAAATCTTTAACTTTATTAAAAGCTTTTTTATATTTTTTATTTTAAATAAAAGTAATATTTTTTTTAATTAAATTATTAAAAAGTTTAATAATATTAATATAGTTTTTAAAAAATCGTTAATAAAAGTTAACGAATTTTAAAAATAACTATACGTTTTTAATGTTAATAAGTATAGGCTAGTCCTTAACTATTATTATTTTAAATATTTATATATAAATTTATTTTAATATAATTATATAGCTAAGGAAATCTATTTTCTGTATATAAAATTCGTATTTATTAAACTTAGTAAAAAGCTTCGTATTTTAAAGTTTTTAAAATATTATATAAACGTACTTTTTATATATTTTGAAATTAAAAAAGAAAATAAAAATATTATTAAAATAAACGATTACGAAAATATTAACATATTCCTTAAATACGTAATTAATTATTATTTAAAATATAATAAATATGTTAATAAGTTCAAAAAGTATAACTAAATATTTATAAAGTCCTTTACGTATTCAAAATACCGTCTTTTATTTATTTATTTTTTTAATTTTAATTTAATTAAATACTTTTTTAAAATCTATTATAAGAAATTATTAAGTTTTATATAATATTTCTTTAAGTTTTATAATAAAAAGTAATAAATAGTAATTCTTTTTAATAATTTCGTTAAATTTTTTATAATCGATTATAAATTTAATTTTTTTTTATTTTTTTTAAATACGAAGAAAATTAATACTCCTATTAAAAAAGATAATAGTTTTATATAACTTTTCTTAAGTCTATCGTCGATATACTTATTAAGTTCGTCGCATTCGAATTAATTTATAAAATATAATAAATAAAACTTAAGTTATATTCTTTTTTTTAATTTAATCTTTATATCTTAATTATTATGTTTTAATAGTCTTATTTTTTCTTTTAAAATGAATAGTTTTATATAAATCCGGTACTTTTTAAGTATAGTTTAAAATAAGTCCGATCTTTAATTATCCGTACCGAGTACGAATATCTTAATAAGTTTTATCGTTTTAATAAAAACGATATATCTAATTTATTTTTATTTATTAAGTATTATATAAAACTTAGTTGAAAACCTTTTTCCTTAAGTCGTTTAATAATTAAGTTTATTTAATAAAGTTAACCGGTTTTTTAATCTATTTATAAATTATATTTTCGTAATTATAAAATTTTTAGAATAACGTCGATATTTTTAATTTTCGTAATATTATATTTTAGTTATTTTAGTTAATTATTAATATATATTATAAAGTATATAGTCTCTCGGTTAATATATTTATCGTTATAATTAATTTTTTTTTATTATTCGTAAAGTACATAAATTCGTTTTTTATATTTATAATAATTTATATTTATTTATTATTTTTAATAAAATAAAAAATTTTTAAGCGCCGCTATTAATAATAGCGCTTATATTGTATTTATTTATTTAAAATTTAAATCGTAAATATTCCTTATTAACGAATATTATAAAATATAAAAACTTATTTATTTTAGCCGCTTTTCGTCGTTTTTTATAATTAACGTATTTAATTTTTTAATATTTTAAAAATTAATACTTATTTTTTTTATGAACTATTCGTAATTATTATTAAATCGGGACGTTTTTATTTTTTAATAAATAAATATAATATATTAATAATATCGTAGATATCGTTTATTTCTTTATTAATAAATTCTTTCCTCTTAAAAAATAATTTATAATTTTTAAATATTTTAATATTAAATTATATATTTAAAATATATTAATTATATAGGTAATCCTTTAGGTGCTTAATAAGCTAATCTCATTCTTTTTAAAAACTTATAGATTTTTGTTATTTTAATTATTTATTTAAATCGGCTTTTTTTTAATAGTAAAATCGTTAATATTAGGTAATATTTTATAATCGATTTTGAATTAAGTATGTTATTAAGCGACGTCGTAAAGTTCGTCTAAATTATAAAGTAATTATTAACTTATTAATTATTTATAGTTTAATATATTAATATTATCTAAAAAGGGGTTATAATCCAGTCCCTCAGTACTAAGTTTTATAAATATATCGTTAGTACTTTTTTTATTTAAATTATTTAGTTTAGCGCTTTTTTTAAATATAAAAAAGTTTTATTTTAATTAGAACATATCGTCTTTTATTATTATTTTAAACTATTTTTTTATTTATTATTATAAGATAATAAGGACCGTTTTTATAATTAAATATTAAGGAATATAAATATTTATTATATAATAAGCCATGTTTAGTTTTTCGATGCGTTATTAATAACGTTTTTTTAATATCTAAAGTCCGTAAACTAAATATATAATATCTATTTTTTTATTGATTTTATATTTTAATTAAAAAAGGTCTTTTTTTATCTTAACCTCTAGTCGTTTCTAGAGTCGTTACTAAAATAAAACGAATATTACTTTTACGTCTAATTGTTTTTTTTTTTTTAATAATCAGCTAACTTTATAATAATTAGCTAAAATATAAATATAATTTTTATTATAATTTTTTATTATTAAAAAACGCTATTTATAATATTAGATTATTTTATTAAATACTCGTCGTATTATATAAATAAATTTACTTAGAATCCGTATTTTACGAGCTAAGATCTCGTTTTTTAATTAAAATAGGTCGTTTTTATTTTTAATTACTATCCTTTTTTCTAATCTATTTCTTACTATCGTAAAAGTTTACGCTTAATTAAAAAAGCTAATAAGTTATACCTTAATTATTTCGTATATTATTAATAATATTTAAATATACTCCTTATTATAATCTTTAATAATTTTAAAATATTAAACTATTTTTTATTTATTTATTATAATAAGGGTTTTACTAGAGAGTTTTTTAAAATACTATTTTAATTATTTTTTATTATCTTGATAAATAAAGTAATTATTATTATAATATACGGTCTAAGAGACTAATTTATAAAGTACTTTTTTAGAAATAATATTAATTTATTTCTTAAGAATAGGTCGTTATTAAATTCGTTTAGGCTATTTATAATCTTTAATTATATATCTTAGCTTATCGTAATTGTAATATTTAATTTTTTTTTTAACGGGATTAGTTTTATTTCGTTATATTAAGGTTTATAAGTCCACTATATTACTTATAAACAGTAGTTTATTAAGGATTATTATTTTTATTATAGCGGTATTTTTAATTAAAATTATATTAAAGTTATTATTAATATTTACGTTTTAAATTAAGTTTTTATCGTTATTTCTTTTTTATAAAAGCGGTTATTGATTTTAATTACGAGTTTAGTATATTAAAAGAAATCGTTTAATTCGTTAATTTTAATAAGCTCGTCCTTAATTTTATCTTTTAATCCTTAATAAAATAACGTATATATATAGCGAGTCGCCTATTATAGCGAGTCGCTTATTTTCCTTTCTTTTTACACCTTCTATCTTAATAACTATTTTTTTTTTACGTATAATTATAAATTCTTTTTTAAATAAAAATTATATTATCCTTACATTTTAAATTATTAAAAAAGACTTAAATTTATCCGTATAAAAAGTAGCTTTTATTTATAATATTTTAAAAATAATATTTTATAACCGATACGTTAGCCTATTACCTTAATATAAAATTCGTATAAATTTAAAAAAAAATAACTTTTTTAAAAGAAACCGTAATTTTTAAATAAATTATTAACTTAATTAATTAAGGATTTTTATTATAACTTAACGATATATAAAATATAGCCGATTACCTTTTTACTAAACGCGACGTAACATATATCGGATTATAATAAGTAAAGAACTTTATACGACGTTAATTATAATTAAAAACGCGTTTTTGATATAAAATTAATTATTAAAAGGTATTGACTAAGGATTTTATAATTATCTAAACTTAGTTTATTTTTATACAAAATACGATTACAAAATACAGAATATATAATTATAATATCTATAATTTTAATAAGACGGGCTTTTTAATAAAAATATTTTCGTATATAAAAGTTATTATAACTTTTAATTATTATAAAAAGCCTTATATAAAATAGCCTAGTAATTAAAAATAAGTTTTTATTATTTAGGGTATATATATAAATAGCTAGGCGTTACCTCTATACGTTATTATAAAAAGTAAATATTACCTCCGTTTATAATATAC